ATAGATACTTATAAACTGTATCAGTGGACTGTATACAAACTTTAGAGACAGAATCATTAAGAATTCTGTAACAGCTTTCCAAAATTAAAGAAATAGGTTTGAATTTGGGATTCGTTGAAAAGCAAGTTTTTAATTAAGGAAGAGGAAATAGAAGATGGAAAAAACTAATTGATTCAAAATCTTGTTTTAAACTGTTGAAAATACTTTAAAGGAAGAGAATTAAAACTATGACTTTTAGCTTCTCTTAATATCTCTGGTGGAATCAGTTGTCTGGAACCTGTGTGCTGGCAGCACAGCAAATTGAGCTGGTGGCTCTTCCCCTCACACACACTCATTGAAAGGCCAGATAAAATAAAACAAACATCAAAATACCCACCTTCTGACCATACTTACAAACAAACTAAAATGACTAACTTTTGCTGGTAAGAAAGAGGACAGGAAGGAGAGAAGGGCAGAAGAAACTGGCCTCAGCTCTAAACAGTAAGTGCAGACACATATTTCACTGCAAACACAGTATATAGACATTTTTATGCTCTGCTGAGAAAATTCCTGTTAAAGAGAAACTGGGATGGGGAAAGGGGAAAGGAAGGAAGGGAAAAGAAAAAAATATATATATATATACATATAAGATAGTTAAGATAATTGTACTACTACTTTCTCTTAGTTCACTGAGAAAAAGGCTTGTGCTAATATTGTTTGGACAATTAAATGCCTATTATCTTATAATCTAACTAATTTAAAAATAACAATAAGCAATGTATTAACCACTGTTACTCTCCTGTTACCTTGTTTTAAGATTTTTTTCTCTTTAAAATAACATTTAAAAAAGAACATTCCTGTTAGATGTTTTTATAGATAGATTTTTGGCTACTCCGTTTGTATATCAGACTGAGACCCTTGTTTTAGAGCATTTCAGATCTTGAATTAAAATTGTTATAGTCTGTTCCAATCCCTCCTTAAACCCTCACGTTCTAGGCTAGAAAACTACTTATTTATCTCAACGATATTTAGGTCTTACATTGTATAACTTCAGGATGATTATTGAATATATATTCTATCTGTGTTACTTTTCTCCTTGCTGAGAAAAAATACCCAACATCCACAAGTTAAAGGAGGAAGGGCTCATTTTGGCTCAGAGTTCGTACAGGTTTTAAGTCCATAGTCAGGTGGCTCCAAGGCAGGGCAGCATAGCAGACAGGTGTGGCAGAGGAGAAACAGTTCGTGGTGTAGCAGCAGAATGTAGCAAGCAGCAGCAAGCCTGCTTTTCCTTTTTATCCCATCCAGGCTACCAGCCCTTTGGATGATGTCACCCAGAACTACACTAATTCCAATCGGTGAGCTAATTTAGTACCACACACCCTTAATCTCGATATCACACATCCTATATCCAACTAGCTCAAAAATGCCCCACCTTATGAGCCCATGAGGCTTTGAGAGGATATCTAGATATCAGCTGTAAGAGACTCTGATCATTCGTCTCTGCAAAAGTCTAGAATAGCATCTTTTAAACTTGATTATTGTGGTAAAATATATATATATAGTACAGACTTTGCCATTTTAACCACATTTAACTATATAATTAAGTGGTTTTAATTATATTCACAGTGTTGCACAACTATCATTATCATCTGTTTTCAATTTTTTTCATCATCCCAAACAGAAACTTTGTAACCCTTAAGTAATAGCTCCCATTCCCTCCTCTGCCAACCCCTTGGCAATCTGCTTTATTTATATGTAATCTAAATTTACTTACTCACATAAGTGGAGTCATTCAATATTTGTCCTTTTGTGTCTGGTTTATTTTACTGAATGTAATGCTTTCAAGATTCATCTTAATTTGTTTATGGCTGAAATAATATTCCATTGCGTTTGTATACCGCATTTGGTGTAATCTTTCATCAGAGGACAAACACTTGGGTTTTTCTACCTTTTTTTTTTCCTTTGGTACCGAGAATCAGACTCAGGAACTTGTGCTTGCTAGGCAAGTGTCTTGTGCCACTGAGCTAAATTCCCAGCCCTTTTTTCTACCTTTTAACCATTGTGAACAATGCTGGGCGAACACTGGGTACAAGTGTTTGAGACATTAGAATAACATTTTGCAGTTTTCTTGATTTCATTTGTTGACTAAAATTATTTCAGTATAATTTAAATATGCGCAGACACGAAGATTTAACTTCTTCTAATCTAACTCTTACATGCCTATAAAATTAAAATATTTTTGATTAAGTAAGACTAAAACTCTAAAATCAATACATTAAAATGAACATTTTTCATCAAATTGCGTTTACTGAAAATAAATTGCTTACATTGAATTTGATAGCTTTGTTGTTTTGATAGTTTTGTTGATGTTGATTTTTGATAAAAAGATATATTTTAACAGTGAACTAATTATACATCATCAAATCCATTATTTTGATAGGCAGTGCATTCACTAGATTATCCCAGAATGGAAATCTGGAAAACAATAGAAAACCAGTAATTTAATGAAAAACTTTGTATTGCTTAATTACTGCAGCAGTTTCATCAATGAGCTGTTGTTGGAAGCAAGTGCTTATAAAAGTTAACTGCCCCCCGAAAAGGTAACCCCCAGAATCCACCCATTCACAATCAGATCCTGACAGTTACAACACAGGTTTTAGTTATTCCACACACTTACTTCTACTAGAGCTGGTTTGAATTGCTAACATCCTAGTCTCAGCTGACCTTTTTTGTTACTAATATATCACTTACTTAGTCTGCCTGTTTTGTGGTAGCCCATTTCCATAAAACTAGTGCAGCACTCTAAAGTCATGTTGTTTTGAATGGAGTTAAATCGGATTCTTAGTTTATTAAATAAGAACCTGAAGTCTTATTCCAGGAAAATCTGTTATACTGCAAAAGAATAGTTCTGTCTTCATAATTGTAAAAAACTGAAATATGAGCACAGGAATGTGATGAAGGATTTTGGTTGTTATTTTGACATTTGCATTTGCCTGCCCAAGAGCTGCTAAACATGCCGACCAACTCCTAAAATGATAAATCCTTCTCCTCAAGGTATCACTTGGCGGTATAGTCAATGAAAATACTGGGAACATTGAAAATTCCATCATACTAATGTATAAAATGGTCATCCAAGGATTCAGATATTCCTACATTTATTCTTTATTGATATAAAATACTTTAATGCTCACAAAATTCAGACATCCTAAAGAATACACTGAAAGATAAAACTCTCCCCATTTGACAAATACTGGTGCAAACATGAATCCTTCTGCTTTGCTCACATTGAATTCCGAGGCTTTATTTACAAAGAGTTGTTCTGCCACTTAAAAATAGGGCAACTTGTGATTTGCAAGCCTCACATAAACTATTTTTATAACAGTGTTCCTTTATTATTTCATAATGAGAATAGAATTACCATCAGGTGAATAGTTGTGTTGACTAATTAATGCATTTTCTTCTCACTTGGCAAACTCAACTATGAGCAGAAGATTGCTTGCGAACGCAGAGCACTCAAAGGATGTTAAGGAATCATTTTGCTAAGCAGTGATAGCCCCCTTCAGCACCTATTTTACTAGGAGAAAAACACTGTCAAATTAACCCTCATAAGTGTCTCCTCTAATCAATGATGATTTTTCTTTCTCTTGAATCTGTATTAACCCCCTGCCAACCCTCAGACCTCTGTTTCCTTTCTAGTTACATCACCTTTAGAAGCAGCTTCACAGAGTGTATTTTTAATGAAATCTCAACTCTCCCCCATGAAAAAATGTATAGTAAATAACACTCATTCATAGTGTGCACACTCCCAAAGCAGAGTCCCCTTTCTGACACTGGCTTCTCTATTAATTGCTGATGCTCTTGATGATACCCTTTCTGGGGTGGGGGGCTTAAAAATCTGCTTTTTACTGCCAATAATATACCTTTCACTTAAAACACTGAATCTTTTCTATATTTAATTTGCATGATTTAATACTTCCTTGTATTATAATTGTTGATTAGGCATTTTATCTGCATAAAACAAAATTGTAATAAATATATGTGATTTATCTAGAGTATCATTCTGTAGACTGTAGTATGTTTTTTCATTTTAAAAATTAAGTTTAGGGGCTGGAGATTTAGCTCAGGGGCACAGCACCTGCCTGGCAAGCGCAAGGTCATGAGTTCAATTCCTGGTACTGGGAAAAAAACAAAAAAAATTAAATAAAATTTTAAAAATTAAGTTTAATAAATATAATTTATTTTTGCTATGTCTCTCTAGTACAGTTTTTAGTGTTAATACCTTTTAGTGTGTGCCAGACCCCTCAAGTCACTAATAAAGGTCAACTCACCTTCATATGTTTATAGCACCTTGAGTGAAAGGCAGCAGTAATATATTTTGAGTGAATTATTAAATAAAATATACAAATCCTATTGTTTGTATCTATTAAAAAATATTTGAAAACTCTACCTTAATTTTGACTCATCCAGCTGACAGAAGTTTAGACTTCCTACAGCTTCCCAAAGAGATAGATAGTCTGTTACTTTTCTTCTGTTGCTCAGACAAAATACCCAACACCCAAGGTTAAAGGAGGAAAGGTATATTTAGCTCACAGTTTGTAGAGGCTTCAGTCCATATTGGTTGGCTCCAAGGCAGAGTGGCACGTTGCAGAGGGGCAGCAACAGTTCATGGCAGTGGAAGACAGCAAAGACAACAAGAGAGGAGCACAAGCCTCCTTCTGTCTCTGATATCCAGTCTACTGGAATTAGGGTGGTGCCTGTCCACTCAATGGACTGGCACCCACCATTAACCCCAGCACCCTTAATCCCAGCATTGCACTACGAATCAGTCACACACTCTAGATTCAGCTGCCTCCGAAAAAGCCCCATGTAAAACTGCATGAGGCTCTGGGGGGATATCTAGACACAAACCATAACATACATCTTTGTTAATATAAGTCAAGGAAAATTGAGTATGGTATGTATTTTATTAGATTATTATAAATACGAAGTTTTATGCAATTTTGCATTTGATTTTTGTACAGGCAGAAATACTCAGTGTCCTGAGTCACAGAAACATCATCCAGTTTTATGGAGTAATTCTTGAACCTCCCAACTATGGTATCGTCACAGGTAAGAACTCATTTTTGACTTCTTTCTTTCTCCAATTACCTAGCTTTAGAATCCTTAATAGGCTAAAATGCTTAATATTAGGTTCAGTCATGAATCGTGTGCTACTGTCAGATGTCACTTTTGTTGCTATAAAGCATTAATAAATCTGATTATATCAATATAATTAAGAATGGTGTTTCTACTTCTACCCATGCTTAATTGTGCTAATTATATCTGTGTAAATGCTATTTAAATTCACTCGCAGCTGCAATACCAACTTAAAGGTGCCGTTCAACTAAAATTTCATTTAATTAGTTGAAATGAGAGATGTTTTTTGTAACTCTGTGACCTTTTGTAAATTAAGATTTCTTGAGGTATTCATGTTGTAATTCTTTGCAAGGCATTTTAAACCCATTAGAGCATTCTTCAAGGTCTCTGATGTGAGAACAGTATTTTTTAGGTTTGGTCATCTGAACTGATAATGACCTTGAGCTACGTTATCGTACAATTTGGAGCTGTGGTTTTATCTGGTGGAAATATCATTTCTAAAAAGGAGCACATAGAAAATTTTGCTACCTGGAAACTCAGAAAGACACATTTTTAATACTTAATGCCCATATTTGTACAATACAATGACCAGTTTAAGTCTGTAATAACTGTAATGTTCAATTCTGCACTAAATTTTGATCAGGTTTATCTTTTTTTTTTGTTGCTGAGACAGAATACCTAACACCCAAGTTTAAAGGAAGAAAAGTTTATTTAGCTCACAGTGTGGAGAGGTTTTAGTTGATAGTTGGCTGGCTCCAGCGCAGGGTGGCCTGGCCAAGCAGTAATAAGCAACAAGCAAGCAGTGACCCTCTTTCTGTCCTTTATATCATATCCAGGGTGGAGCAGCCTTAACCCTTACATCATACCATGAGTCCCAGCATCACACACCCTAGATCCAGCCACCTCTGAAAAGCCCTGCCTAAGACCATGCGAGGCTTTGGGGGGACATGTAGAAACAAGCCATAACAAGGTTCTTTATTGTGGCAGTTCTTTATCATAACAAAAACAAATAAGAAAACCTTAAAAACTAACCCTGTCTTCTTCCACTGTAATAGCAACAACTTGGATTGTTTTTATAGAAAATAACATGTCTTTAGTAGAAAGAATTGTTTAAGGAATCTTCTTTATTTTTTTTTTTTTCTGTTTGTTTGTTTGTCTTTTTGAGATAAGGTCTTACTATGCAGTTCAGGCTGGCCTTGAACTCACTTATGTAGCCTAGGCTGGCCTCAAACTTACAACAGTCCTCCCTGCTTCAGCCTCCTGAGGGCTGGGATTACAGGCATGTGCCACACCATAATCCTTACTTGATAAATAAACTGATTTGTTTTGACAAGAAACTAAGACGTTGACTTAAGTAACTTTCCTAGATAGGGCAAATGATACACATTTCTTAGAGTGGTTTTTTCTGGAAGCACTTCTTACACATTACCAGGCTCAAGAAGGCTATAAGATTATTTTGTTCAGTTCACAGGGACATAGTTGTTGTCACTTTCATCCTCTGGTGACAGATAGTTTAATATGCTTTTGCTATTAAGTATTATTTTTACCTAGATTCTTAGCGAGAGGGATTTCTAGCCCCAATTTGTTCTCTTTGATTCTGTGCCAGGAATGAGGCATATCACAGTTTTCTCCTGTGTTTCCTACATTAGCATGAATACCTCAGAACAGTTTATATTGTTAGGGATAAAACATGTCTGACCTTCCATGTCTTACTTCTGATTTGAAGTTAAACCTTTTTCTGACTCAGTTACCATATCTGCTAGCTCTTTGACCCCAGGTTATATATATTTACTTTTCACTGGTTATGTTTATAGATCCGAATCCTGTTTTCTGTCTTCATTTGTGGCCAATATTATTCTTATCTACCAGGTATTATTCCTGGTAGATTAGAAACCAATAGATTAGACACTGTTCCCTCTCTTATACCCTTGATGTGTAATGCTTTGGAGAAGACTGTTTTAGCTTATCCTAGTCAATGGGCTATTTATGGACTTTTGTCCTGTTCTGAGGTGAGGATGAAGAGTAGAAAAGGGGACCTGAATCATGGTATGAATTATTTTTTCCAAAAGAATGCTGTCTCAAGGAAGATGTGAAACACATGCATTCTTTGCTACATATTCAATCTGAGTCATCTCATTCAAAAGTAGAAGAATCCAAGTTGTTTGATGAGTAAGCTTGATTTTATTTGGTATTTGTACCAAATAAATTATATTTCTAAAGATTTAGTTTTAACTAAACATTTATTCAAATCTTCCAACATTCTGCAGTGTTAGGCTCAGGTCATGCTCTGTGTGGGTAGCCAACTGTGCATATGTCAACTAAACAAGTTTGGGGGTGAAAGATCAGATGGATTAGGGATGATGGCACTTACCCTTCCTTTTCGAATGAACACAGATAAGCTCTAGTGTAGGATATGAAGGGAAAAATAAAGGCAGGCAGGCAGAAGACCTTAATCACCAAGCCTGCATGCCTCTCTACGAACTTCATCCCCTGTATCAGATGGTAGAGGTTCTGAGGGAGGAAGTTTGAATGGCTGAAGTTCATTCAGCTGGGTTTTGTTGTTGTTGTTGTTGTTGTTGTTAATACAAAAGGTTGTTGCAGCAAGCCACTGTTGTCACTCATACTATGGGCTTGAAAGAATGATTTATCAGAGTGATGGAATGGAATGAGTGATGGAATGGGAATTGGAAGATGTGAGATCTTCTCTTGACTCTTTCAAAGCTTCATAGATGGGCCATTGAAGTTATCTCTGTCTCAGTTTTCTCATGTGGATGAAGAGACCAGAGAAATGACTGGGAGAATGTATGTGTGTTTGTATACATATCTGTATGCGTGTTTGCTGAAACCTTTCATCACAGCCCTGTTTATATTAGGACATGGGGAAATGTCTAAGAGACAGCTACCAATTTATTTCCCTTAGAAGGGAAATGAACGTCTTTCTTCCAGATCTACAAAGAAATTGAGTAACAGACTCCAAAGTCAAAAGAAATGATTCATTAATGGATCCTACTTTCTTTGATCTATGGAAACCTCTTAATTCTGTCCTGTTTCCATTCTCTCTCTCTCTCCCTCTCTCTCTGTCTGTCTCTCTCTCTATCTCTCTCTCTGTCTGTCTCTCTCTCTATCTCTCTCTCTGTCTGTCTGTCTCTCTCTCTCTCTCCACTCTCTCTCTCCTCTCTCTTCTCTCTGGCTTCAGGATAGAGAGAACACCTTGGAGAAAAGGGACAGGTTGTCTGATTCTAGATCATGTAGTTGTTTTCTAGCAAGCCAGATTGGAGAGTAACTCCCAAACTATCAAATAATCTAAGAGTAAAGAAAGAGTGTCAGTCTGAGTAAAGAAAGAGTGTCAAGTCTGAATTCCAGGGAATGTAGGATTCCCAGAGGCTCATGAAATTGCATCTTTGTGCTCAGGGCTGAAGGGCACCTCTTGTTTATTACCTCTTTCGTATTACTCCTACCCACACACTCAGGCTACTAGCCCTGCACGATTTGTCAGCAGATCCAACTTCTCATTAAACTTAACCATGGAAAATAGTAATTTTTAAGCACCCAAGCTCATTTTCTTTAACTTAATCTTGATTTATTTTAAGTACAGATACATCCAGTGTGCATGTCTTGATGTTATGCTGGTCTTCTCTTATTAGCTAATTAACTTTTTTGTTTTTGTTTTATCTTAAAGAGTAGAAGAAGGATAAGATAGTAATAGGGGGGTTTACTGAATTACAGACAAAGTGGTAGGAAATTATCAATGGTTGTTGTTTTACATATTGTTATCTATAAGATAGTTTCTCAGGAAAACAAATAGACAAATAATAGTGAGCTACAGACAAAAGTGGTAGGTTATTATCAATGGTCGTTATACTATACTTTGGTATCTTCAAAGTGGTTTCTAAAGAAAATAAATAGAGCTATATCTGAGTGACCGATTGAATATTCATTGACTATTCTCAATGGTTGTTGTAGGAAACACATAGTAATAAACATACATCCATTTACAAAATAGCATAGAAACAATACAAACATTACAGAATTATGGACAGATTAGTAGGGAAATATCAGTGGCTGCTGTAATACATGGTGATATCTTCAAAGTGGTTTCTCAGGAAGACAGAGATTAGCAAGAAAGATCTAACAAGTAGTTACAGCCTAAGGGTTGTCAAAAATAGTGGATTACCTCCTCACCAGTGACTCCTTTCACTGAGGTGTGACAGCTGGAAGGAAGGCCAGGATTGAAAAGAAGGACCGAGAGACTTGCACCTGTGTTAGCAGCAGGCTGTTTTCTTTTTCCTCCATAGTCATGATTACCCGGGGCTCCTCCATGGAGATGACAGTCTGGCCAGAGGGAGAAGGCAGAGTATGCCCCAGGTCCTCTCATTCCTGTTAGACTATCTGGTAGGATGGGTCTGAGGGGTGGGGCCTTGGCTTCAGAGGGCAGATCAATCTCCAGTGGTTGTTTTTCTTTTTTTGAAACAGGGTCTTATTCTGTATTCCAGGCTGGCTTTGAACTCACTGTGTAAGCTGGGCATGGTGGCACATGCTGTAATCATAATACTCAAGAGGCTGAGGCAGGAGGAGTGCCTTGAGTTCGAGGCCATCCTGGGCTATAGAGTGAGTTCAAGTCCTGGCAGAACTCATAGTGAGAGCCTCTCTCAAAACAAACAAACAAATAAATAAATAAACAACAAAACAGTGAACTCACTATGTAGTTTGGGCTGGCCTTGAATTCATGAAATCTCCCTTCTTCTGCCTCCTAAGTGCTAGGATTACAGGTGTGTGCCACATCCAGCATTACTTAAATTATCTTTATGTGGTTTTCAGAGAACATCCTCTTCACTGCAGTCCATTTGAAATACAGTAGAAACCAGGAGTGGTGGTTCCTGCCTGTAATCCCAGCACTCAGGAGGCAGAGGCGAGAGGATTGCCTGAGTTGGAGGCCAGCCTGGGCTATATACTGAGTTCAAGGCCAGCCTGGA